ATAATATCTTTAAAGAAAACTACAAAACACTATTACAAAAAAACCATTAAGAGATACAACTAAATGGAAAAATATTCCCTGTTCATGGATAGGAACACTCAACATGGTGAAAATGATAATCCTACCCAAAGCAATCTACGTGTTTAATGCAATCTCAATACAAACATCAAACTCAGTTTTCAAAAAAGACTTAAAAGGCAATTGACAAGTTTATTTGGAAAGGAAAGAGATCTTGAATAAGGAAAGCTCTTCTGAATTAAATGTGAGGCATAACACTGCCTGAACTAAAAATCTACAACGCAACTATAATAATAAAAAACAGCAATGACAGACACATAGACCAATGGAACAAAAATCAAGAACCTAGAAATTAACCCATCTAACCTACAGTCAACTGGTATTTGACAGGGGAACAAAATCTATCAAATGAGGAAATGACAATTTCTTCAACAAATGGTGCTGACAAAATTGGAAATCTACCTGCAAAAAACTGAAGCAAAATCCACATATCATACCGCACACAAAAATCAACTCAAGGTAGAGACCTAGGAGTAAAGCTCAAAACCATAACGATTTCAAGAAACAAATTGAGTTCAAGCTTAGAATTACATTGTTATTGATTGCCATAGAGTCAAGCAGGACTCATAGCAACAATGTGAACAAAAGGCCTGAAGACTATCTGTAACTATCGACATTTATCAAAGTTCACAGGGTTTCCAGAGGCATGTTGTTTAGGAATGGCATGTTGTTGCCATTCCTGTTTCCAATAGAATGATTAGCTTATGTTATAAATAGTCTGGCAAATACAATGAGAAATACACCACCAACAGAGGAGGATAACGTCAATGAGACAAACTTTTAAAAAAATTAAGACCCTCTATGCATCAAAGGTTGCTTCTTGGAGGCTAGGATTTTGAAGCTTCATCTAGCATGCTTTGGACATGGTGCAAGGAGGGATCAATCCTTGGAGAGTGACTTCATGCTTGGAAGAGTAAAGGAACAGCACAGGAGTGAAAGGCCCTGGATAAGATGGACTAAGTGACTAGGGTAATAGTAATGGGGGTAGGTGGGTCAGAGACACACATGTTTTGACAGCATGTAACAACAATAATAACATGTGCATCAAAAATTTTCCCAGTGATTTCCACTCTTTCTCTTTTTTCTACCACCTTTCCCCTTTCTGTTTTTCCTTTCAGAAATCTCTACATATCTTACTAATTACCCTTATGAGTTTTTTCCTACTTTTAAAAAAATTCTATATTAGTATACATGCAAAATCTATATACATTGTGTTTCACACATTCCTTCATTTATACTGTGTTTCACTGATCATTCCCAGATTTTATAAAACTGTGTCTTATAAAATTAATCACCATTGATCTACTTTTACTGTCATCCTATATTTTCAGGTCTCTATAAGACCTATCCTAATTCCTTCAGGCCCTCTCTCTGTCCGCCAAACTCTGTGACTCTGATTTCCCTCCTTCTCTTCAGCTCCCCTGCCCTAGCCCTTTCTGCCTTTGAACTTTTGTACACATTTTGCTGGTTATCCTACTATTTTTACAGTAATGGTCTTATGTAATATTTGTTCTTATGAGATTGAGTTAGTTTACTACATAATGTTCTCTAGAGTCTGTCATGTTACACAGTATTTTACAAAATCATTCCACTGCTAGGAATATATCCTAAGGAAAATGGAATTGAGAAACAGACCAAGATCTATGTTCACAGCAGCATTATTCACAATAGCAAGAAAATAGACCAAATGCCCATTAATAAAAGACTAGATTGGGAAACTGTGGTACACTGAACCAGTGGAATACTAAGCAACACTGAGGTATAATAATTTTGTAAAATACTATGTAACATGGGAGAGTCTAGAGAGTATTGTGTTGAGTGAAGTATGTCAGTATTATAAGGACAAATGCTGCATAGGCTATTATTGTAAAAATAGAAGGGTAACTAGTAAGATGTGTATGAAAGTCCAAAAGGGAAAGATTCAGGGGCCAAAGGGACAGAAAATGGGCAAATCATGACAATAGCTGAGTTCGGTGGGCAGAAGTGGGAGGGTGGGATGAAGGAATGGGAAAGATTTCATTTATACCTGAAAAGATGGGGTAATGGTACACATAGATCAATGGTGTTTAATTTTATAAAACACAATGTATATGAGTGTTAGGATGAAACATAATGTGATGAAGGAAAGTGTGAAACTGCAATGTTCATGAATGAAACACAATGTATAAAATTTTTTAAAAAGTAGTGCTCAGCACCTCATTATTCAGTCACTTTGCTAGAAGGATTTCTTTAAAGAAATATAATTTAAACACTATAGTATTAATGTAAAGAACTAACTACATTTCAATGAATTTTGACAAATGGGCATATTCATTTAGCCTATATACCTTATATTCCTGTAACCCATATACCTATCAAATAATAAAGAATTTACATTACTGTAAAATGTTCTCCAGTGTGTCTGATCAGTCAGTCTGTATCTCTTCCTTTCAAAGGGGATTTTAAGAACACAGAATTTAGATGCTGTAAGGAACTCAAGTGGACATAAAATACTTGCTGGAGAAGATGAAAGACTACAGCCTTCATATGGATACATCTCAACATTAAGAAGACAAAACTCATCACCACCGGGTCAGCAGGCAGCATTGTGGATAGATGAAGAAAGACTAAAGTTGTCAACTCTTTCATCTTACTTGACTCCACAATCAATACCCAGGGTAACAGCAATCAAGTAATCAAAAGATAGAATTTATTGGGTATATCTGCTGTCAAGGATCTCACCAAAGTGCTAAGGAACAACATCATCAATTTCAAAACAAAGGTGCACCTGATACAAGCCGGGTCTTTTCAATCACCTGCTATGCACTGAAACCTGGATGCTGAATAAGGACGACAGAAAAAACAATACTTTTGAATTGTGATGTAGAAGAGTACAAAGTATCCAATGGACTGCCAAAAGAACACACAGATAAGTCTCAGAGAAAGTGCAACCAGGGTGCTCCTTAGAAGTGATGATGGTGAAGCTTTATCTCACACACATGTTGTCAGGAGACGCTGGTCCTTGGAAAAGGATATCATGCTTCATTATGAGAGAGGAAGCCCCTCAGCAAGATGGACTGACTCAGTGACTGTAATAATAAGCTTAAGTACATCAGAGATGATGAGGACAGCACAGAATAGGACAGGGTTCAGTTCTGTTGTTCACAGGGTCACTATGCATCATGGTCGACTTGAAGACACATAACAACAGCAATTAGCTCTGGCTGCTCAGTTCATAGGAAATTGCATGGCTCACTTGAAAACCATGTCTCTGGTGGCTCAAATCTACAAGCAGCTCTGTGGGAGAAGTATGGGTAGTCTCCTGTGGCACAATTTACAGTCAGTCCAAAAACTCAGTGGAGGATCAACTCTGAATTGGTTCTGACTCGACTGCACAGTGCCGAGTACTTGAAGGAGCCCTGAAATGGAACAAAGCCCTTGAGGCATTCTCTCCTCTCGCTAAGATGATCTTTCACCTAGAGGCTCTTTGTTTGGGCATCCTCTGTGGTACACTTGTAGAGACAGTGCTGAGGTATTTCCCCAGGCAAACTGGGAGCCAGAGGGATGGCATCTAGGGAAAAGCAATATGGAACAAGATGATTGGGCAACTGGGAAAATTGAGTTCAGGCCACTTTATTGGCAGCGATCTGGAGTCAATTCTGATTAGAAATAAAAATGTCATTCACACTGAGGCCTGTTTACAAATTGTGCTAGCACATTTGGGACCTCAACAGGCTCTCTACCTGATTCTACTCACCAGAGCTCGACCTCTACAGGCACTTGTGGGTTTACCAGTCAGTTTTCCTACCTCGCAAGACAACAAGGCAGGCACTGCTCTTTCCTGGTGATAATCACTCCTGGGAAGGTGCCATACATTCACATAGACAGTGTCGCATTTATTGAAGACTAAAGCAGTCACAAACCATCAGCAGAAGAAACTTACGGTATTTCAGAAAATATAAATGAGTTTGGAAGTCACTGCATCCAGTAACCTTACAGGGGGGGGCAGAGAACCCAAAACACACACACACACACACACACACACACACACACACACACACACACAAACCCTCCAAAAAGTGAATACATCCTGTGGCATCTGATTCTTTACCTGGTCAGCTTCTGAGTCTGATGGGACCACCAGTACCACATCACCCCTTTGCAAGTTAAGTTCATCAGAATTTGCTGCCTCAAAGTCATGCAGTGTTTCCACCTACAAAAGATTGCAAAGTAATAGATTACTTCAAGAAAAGGTAAGCAATTAAAAAGCAGACACTTTCAGCAGCACCTCTAGAGCATAAAAAGAGTAAGAAATGTATTCTTATTCCTCGTGAAAGAAAGGCTAGATAGTGGAAGGGAAATCCTATTTAATACTCTGTGCAATAGGAAGTCATTAATGTATGAACTACATTTTAAACAACACATTTTAAAGATTTGTCTTTTATTATCATTGTTTTACTGTTGTTTCTTTAAACGTGTTGCTGCAAATGACAGCAAAATGTGTTTCTTTTTTTCCCCTTTTTATTTTATTTTATTATTTTTGTGTGAGTGTACCGTCAAATCAGATCTGACTGGTACAGGGGGAGATTGTCCCTCCTTCCCCGGCAGAGCATCTGGTGGGTTCGAACCGTGCGCCTCTGGGATTGTAGTTGCAGCTCCTTGCCACTAGGCCACCAGAGCTCCCCAAAATGTGTTTCTAAGCACGGTCGTCAATTTAAAAGTGTGCGGCAACGTGTTAAAAATGTTTCCATAATATTAACTTCTGTCAGTTAGTAAACAGGAATATTTTACGAGAATTAAAGGATGACTCACCTACAACCAGGAGAAGATAAAACAGATGAATGGGACCTTCTAAGAATCAAATCCCTATGCACATCCAAAAACTTCTCCAACAGGGTAAAAAGGGAAGCCATCGACCAGGAAAAAGTATTTGGTGATGACATATCAGATAAGGGACTTATATCCAGAATTTATAAAATACTTGAGCACCACAAGAAGATAAAGCTAAATAATCCAATAGAAAAATGGGCACAGGATATGAACAGACACTTCACCGAAGAAGACATTCAGATGGCTAACAAGCACAAGAAGAAATGTTCAAAATCCCTAGCTGTAAGAGATGCAAATCAAAACAACTATGAGCTATCATCTCACCCCAGTCAGAACAGCAAACATCAAATGCTGGTGGGAGTGTAAAGTGGTGCAATCACTGTGGAAGGTGGTTTGGCACTTTCTCAAAAAGTTGCAAATAGAGAAAACATTTGACCCAGCAATTCCACTACTGGGAATATACCCCAAAGGGACCATAACTGACATGCAGGCAGATATATGCACACCCATGTTTATTGTGGCTTCGTTCACAGTAGGAGTTGGAAACAACCTAAGTGCCAATCAACAAACGAATGAAGAGAGAAGGCTGGGTTACATCCACACAATGGAATACTATGCTGCTTTGAAAAACAAGAAACTCATGCAATATTATTCAAAATGGGTGACCCTGGAGGACATTATGGTGAGTGAAGTATCTCAGTCATAGAAGGACAAATACTGCATGGTGCCACTGCTGCAAAACAGGACTGACCTTGGGTTTGGGGAGAGACTGAGAAAGATGGGTTCAATAATATATACTGCATTGAAACAGATGAGGGAGAAAACTGTTTAAAAGGGATATGTGATTAGGTATTTTTTCCATGATGGGAGACCAGAGCAGAGGCTGCATAGGGGGGAGGGACTGTATAACAATGAAAGAATTTTTCTTTTACTTTTCCAAGGGAGGAGTATACTAGGCGAGAGGGTAGGGAGGAGAGAAAAGTGCAACAATGAATGAATGGAAATCCAAAGCCTCTTTAAATTTTCATTGAAATTAATAATAAGCTAAAAAACAAACCAAAAAAGGGTGACTCAATTTATTTTCTCCTTTCTTTCAAAAAGACTTCCTTAATGTATTATCACAGAAAAATAATTTTTAAGTAAAAGGAATAATGGAATAAACAGTGTACCTATAGTTTAGTTTAAATAACAAGTCACTTATATGTCTTCCTGTCCTCTACCTGCCTCCATTCCACAAGATAAAGAAATTCTGTTTATTTAAATGTTTATTTTTCATAAACAATCAGAGTATGTCAGAACTGTGCAAGACTATCAAACTTCAAAATTTATTTCTCTGATGAGATACTGGAACTGAGAATGCAGCACATGGATACAGCACACTTAAGAAGCCAGGCTGGTCTAGTATACCCAGTTCTGCCCACACACCGCTGCCTGTCTTTCTGAATGCCAACGAGGACTAAACGCAAAAGAACACAGTGCACTCACTAAGCAAATGTTTAATGCTCTTTCATATTCATTCATTCATTCATTCATTCATAAATCATTATACCTATTCCTGTCAGAGACAGGATGAAATACAGAGAGGGAAAAGAGAGACAATGGGTGACAACTGAATTATGTTAGCACTGCAGAGGTACTTGGTTCAAATCCACCACTTTCTCCATAGGAAAAAGACTGACAATCAGCTCACATGTGATACTGCCTCTGAAAATTCACTGGAGGGTAATCTCTGGGTCAATATAACAACAAAACAACACAACTCAAGAGAACTCTGACATGCTGCTCTATACACTGAACTGTTAACCCATAGATCTACCCGCTGCTCTGAGGGGTAAGTTGGGTAGTCACTTCCTGTGCAAGTTACAGTCTTGGTAGCTCAGCGGAGGTATCAGCTAACAGTTGGTTCCAAATTGATAGCAGTGAGTTGAGTCCTTTATTACAATTCAACCCTCACCCCCTCAGATACACACAAATTTAACACTTCTGAAAAGAATCTGAATGTTGCAATGTAAAACCAAATTACAGAACGGAAAAATTATAACCAGCTGTCGTTTATGTTTCCATGACGTCTTTTTGTAGTCTCTTTGACTTACAAAAATGCCAAGTAGTGATACAATGGTCATTTTGAATAAAAAAATATTCTCATCAATTTAGACTTTTATAAAACAAAACAACAAAGAAAGCCATTCGTGTATTTACTCACTTGTTTTAAAAAAACTGCCATCTTACTTGGTGTTAGATACTGTACTAAGCAGCTGGGTCTGCCATTAATTCCTGAGTTCTGCCCTGCGATAGGATGTAAACCCATTTTGTATATAGTTAAGCAAAAGATAATTTAAAAAAACATAGTTTAGGGGCAAGATTAGGGTTACCCATAGAGCATGGGGGAGCACAGAGTTGGGCAAGAGCTGGGGCAGTGACTAATTCTGTAGAGATCTTTTCTCTAATTTATCCTTTTTAAAAGTAAAGCAATAACTGTAGTGTTTGCTTGTTATTCCAAACCAAACTCATCCAGTATACTTCAGATGACCATGACCGTCTAAGGCAGAGGATTTTCCCATAGGGTTTCCAAGGCAGTGAACCTTTACAGAAGCAGACTGCCACACCTTTCTCCCGTACCAGGAACACCTGGTAGATAAAGCCAACCTTCTGGTTAGCAGCTGAGTGATTTGAACCCTACACCACCAGGGTCCCCTGCTTACTTGCCCAGCAGCCCTAGAAGTCTCTCGATTTTACAATGTGGTGTTAGCAGGAAGGGGTAAGTAGTAAAAACGAATATATACAATAAAGAGTAAAAGTCAAAAGGGAGAATCAAAAGTTCGAACAAAATGGACTCAAAGCAAAAGTAAGTAAAAAATGGCCATAAAACATTGAAAGGGAAAGAAAAAAAGAGAGAAGACCTTATAGAGAAATCCAGGGGGCAATTCCTGAGCAGTGTCCTGTGCAGTTCCTGCCTGGTCAGCATCTCCGGCTGGTGCTGAGGGAGCCGGCGACGTGTCCTCCAGGGCCCTCGGCTCCGTCGCAGGCACTGTCTTGCTGGTGGATTCTGGCAGAGCCGCCTCATCAGTTGTTTCTTTGGCTTCTGCACCAACTATTACATCATGTTCTCCCTCCCCTTCATGGTTGGAAGCAGGCTCTATGACCACAGAAGGGATGACCTTCTCCTGGAAAGGAAATACGGCGGTATGAGGGGCTCCTGAGAATAAGAATTCCAGGTCCTCCACTGCTGGCCTAAACCTCCCTTTCACCTTCTTTACTACCATCTCCTGCATTCACCTCATGTAACTAGCTGTTTTCCAAACCCAGCTCAGGCTTCCATGTCTTTGGATCCAGCCCTGATGCACCTGTCTCGTGACCCAGCCTCCTTCAGGTCCTTCTATTCTTTTATGCGGACCAAAATTCTAGTGTGAGGATTTTTCTGGGTCTAAAATTATCATGCAGTTAATGAAGAATGAGGTTTCTGTACAAACTGGGAAGAAAGTTACTACCACCATGTAACTAATTTTTGACTCACGGAGATCCTACATAACAGAACTGCCTCAGAGGGTTTCCAAGGCTGGTATCTCTGCAGGCCTTTCCTTCCATGGTTTGGATGGTGAGTGTTTAATCACTTTATCACTGGCACTTCTAAGAAGCGTGATAGGAAATGAAAGGGGAGTGTACCTTACTCCGATGGCACTGGGAGGCAATCCTGAGCCTGAATGCCACAGGATGCCAGGTACAAGCTTCAGGGACTCAGGTATGCAGTGGTCCATTTGTTTCTTGATGAACGCTAACACTTGTTTAAACTGATATTTAACTTTCTACAATTTTCTTTATGTTCATTATCTTTACGTTTACGGGATTCCTGAATAGTCTGACACTGTATGATGGGTTCAAATGGGTGGTGTGGATTTCAAGACAAGGGATTAATACACTGCTCATTGGTTATTACACACTGAAGAGAATATCTCAGTGTTTATTAGCTCGACCATCTACCTCTGTTGCCTGGTGGAAGCAAAGCCATAGGGTTGAGGTCTCCTTTTTCATTTAATGTTTTAAACAAATATGATCAGGCAGGGGAAGTCTCACCAGCATAGAGAAATCCAGAGATGCTGAACTGCCTTTCAGGTCATACTCTATGTTTCCCAGAATACCAATGGGCAGAGCATCTCTAATCCTCCATCAGGGAAAACAATGCTCTCTATTTAAGAAGCCGAAAGTACCACCATTACCCACTATTTTTGCCCCAATGGGATGAAAGGGAAAGCTTAACATTAGCTTATTCGTTACTGCTTTCATCCACAATCAAGAAAGAGAAACAAACAGTGGGCCACAGAAAACTGTCCCTGCCTCAGTGGAGCCACTAGTATTGGTGTCACCCAGAGCTGTAACTCATGTTGTCACTGCCCCTCAGTGGGCCTCCACACATACCCGACCACACAAGTTCCTTAGTAATGCTTTGTACTAATATTAACCATCAATCACAATTCCTATCTATCACTGAATGCAGAAACAACAGCAGTAATACAAACAATCAGCAAAATAAAAATGATGCCCTTATTACAACAGATACAGAGGAAACCACATAATTCAAAGAATCATCGTAACTGGGCAATAATGATAGCTGTGATGCAAACCTAGGGAGCTCTACTGGCCTAGTGGTAAGGAGCTGTGCTGCCTAAAGGTAGGTGGTTCGAATCTGCCAGGTGCTATGAGGGAGAACGATGAATAATCTCCTCCCATGCTATTTCAGCCTCTGACTGGGTTCCACCTCCGACTTAACAGCATATTACAATTGCTGATCCAAGCACATTGTTGTTGTGTGCCATTAAGTCAGAACCGACTCATAGCTGACCATCCAGCAGGTTTTCTGAGACAATAAATCACACAGGAGGAGACAGCTCATCCTTCTCCCAGATCCAAGCACATTAGAAGGTTAAAAAAGAAATGTTGTTGTTGTTGTGTGCCATCAAGTCGCTTGAAACTCATAGTGACCCTGCGTACAACAGCCCTAAACTCTGCTGTCATGTGCCAATCACACTGTCTCCGATACACCCATGCTGATTACCCCAGTCACTGAATCAATCCACCTCATAGAGGGCCCTCCCCTCCTGTGCTGTCCCTCCACCCTCCCAAGCATGATGTCCCTCTCCAAGGACCAGTCCCTCCTCACATGTTAGAAAGAAATATTAGCAAAATATTTCAGCCTTGAAGGTATACTGAAACATATAAGCTGGGCATAAAAAATGTCTTCGTTATTATAACAAACTAAAACACAGTATGATATTCTGCTAAAACATAATACAAAATTTATTAACAGACATTTGGGTGCCCCACTGCCTCTGACATTGTCACCCAGTACATTCTGCATGCCCCCTCTTCACCTCCCATGATGTCACCATCCTGATCTTGTACTTAAACTTGAAGCTCCAACAGTCTTGGAGCACATGGATTTGTCACATCTGAACACAGCTCTGATGACATCCTTCCTGGTGTGTATAATGGAGATTGGGGGCTAACTCTATTCTAATTGAGAGCTATGCAGTTAGAGGCTATTCTCCTTTTATAAGAGATACAAATGGACATATACAGATGATGGAACTAAGGGAGCTCTGGTAGCCTAGTGGTAAGAAGCTGTGCTGTAATCCTGAAGGCATGTGGTTCGAATCCACTAGCAGCTCAGTGGGAGAAGGACGAGAAATCTCCTCCTGAGTGATTTATTGCCTCTGATAACCTGCTGGAGGGTCAGCAATGGGCTGGTTCTGACTTGACAACACTTAACAATGGTAAATCTGGGGACTTTTAATAATATCACCAAAACAAAAAATAGCAATATAACTACTGATGCTGAAGATCAGATCTTGCGCCTGGCACTGGCTCCAATTGTTTTCTCACATTATTGCTATGAAAACCCTGTGAATTAAGACAAATCCTTTCTCCCCCTACCTTGCCATCCTAATCCTCTAGATCTTACACATGGTTCCTCTTCTCCCTCATGCTACCTGGCTATTTCCTTTTGTTTTGTCCGTGTTTCAGTCCAGGCAGCTTTAGACACCGGAGACACTTGCAGAACCTCACAATGCGGACACTGAGAGGCTATTGGTATCACTCTTTCTGAGCATTCAGTAAACTCTTTTGGTGGAAACATTGTTCCTATTCAGTTGGAACCTACCACAGTCAGAGGGTTTTCAGAAGCAGTAAATTGTACAGGAGATTGTCTATTCTTATCCTAAGGAGAAGGTGGTAGATCTGAACTGTTTATCTTTGGGATTACAGTGCAGATTCTTATCACTAGGCCACCAGAGCTCAAAAAAATGGTGGCAAACCTATGTTACACCCAACAAGAGTTATCCCATTAACCAAAAGACACAATATTCTGACTGGCACTGTCTTTCCAGAACCTCCACGTCCCTGGCCCCATTACCTGAGGCACCGTTACTTCCACTTCTTCTGAAAGTGGCTTGTCACTGTCAGCTGTCTCCACAGTTTCACTATCAACTTTGGCCTCCTCTAAACTTATTCCTTCATCAGCAGAGAAAGCGGCCTTCTCTGTTTCCGCTTCCTCCACTGGGGTCCCCTCAGCTCCGACAACCAAGGTTCCAACAGCCACATCAGCTTCAGCTCCAGGTACAGCCTGTAAACCAGAAAACAGGACAGGTTATGTCTGCGTCTTCATGAATTTTGGCTGAGAGTCGAATTCAACTCTTTCACCTCTTTCCTCTCTGCTGAGCCTTATCTTACCTTGAAGCTTTCTTTGTAAATTTTACTGAATCACAGAATTGAGGGGCAGGAGAATCTGCTATCTTTGGTTAACAATCAGACCTCTCTCTTTTTTCCTGTATATACAATCATTGTACATACTGGGCTTGTCCTGCAGCTACATGTGGGTCCTGGAACCAGAGGAGCAGTGGCATAGGCCACTCTTCAGTCAAGGCTGTGAGGTGTGGATGATCCTCCCACAAGCCTTTCCATTTTATTAACTGAAAACAGATGGCAATGAGACTCTAGGGGGCATCTGAGTCACATATCAAAAAGAGTCTGGACTGAAGGCCTGGATCCTGGTAGAAAATAATATAAGAAAACCACCACAGAATCAGAAATTAGAAACATCTGCATTTCAATATGTACTTTACAATCCTCCTGGGAAAGATGCCAAAACCTAACTCACATTCACCTGGAAAGGGGGAGAGCTTTCTCAATGAGACTTCAGGAGGAGAAAGAAAGAAAGAAAAGAAGGGGGGAAAAGGCTATCAAACCTACAATTAAAAAGCACCACCTGTGCTTATGAGCAAAATGCCAAAATCAGATCTTGGATTTTTACTTGGGAGAAGTAAAAGAGAAAATAAAAATAGAATTTTGTTTTGTAAGTTCAGAACACAATCAAAAGAAGAGTCTTCTGTGGTATTTAAATCATGCAGGAATGAACTTCTCTGAGTTTGAGTAGGCGGGCCCAGCAGTTTAGTTCTGAAGGTGGTGGTCATGGGCTCCATGCCTTTAAAATGGCCCTAACAACATTATCTTGGCAGAGTGGATTTCAGAGGCTTGAGTCAGAAGGAGAATATTAAATTGATCCTATATGATATACCAAGGGCATATATCTCAAAAATTGATCTTGCTATCTGATGTGATTAGGATTAGCCATTCCTTTTCTTTATTGAATCAGCTCTACCCAATTCATCCTATTAAATTAGGAAGGCCTAATGCTGCAGATATTAACTCTCAGACTCAGAATCCTAAGAAGGGGAGAGATGCATCAGTCTTGTTTAATGGGCATCAGAGATGAGAGAATAATAACACGAACTACACACCTAGGTACCTAACAAGGAATTGAAAAATCAACTTTTCTTAGAACTTAAATCCACAGCTAGTAAGGAAAAAGAACCCTTTGTTGAACACATTTTTCTACCATGTATTTTAATTTGGGGATGAAAAATAATGTTAACTGTGACATTACTTATTATATGAACAAGTATTACTCAAGGTCTAGAAAGGTAATTCCTTCTCTGGGGAAGAATCCTCTAGTATGAGAATCTGACTCTTCGTAAAGTGTGCAATGATTCAAAACATAGACATCTGTAATTTAAGTATATTGGTTCCAAGAAGTCATCCTTTTACATAAATTTACAGATACTTATTTAAAGTGAATTATAACTGTTGATACAATAAAGTGGATAACAAATACGTTGAGATTCATACGCTGGGAATGGCTAAAATTCCTATAATAAAGTTTAATTAAAATTTAAGAGAATTGCATACTTTGATTTAAACAAAAATTGATCTTTTTATAGACATTATGTCATTATTGGCAAGATTGGGAGGAATATACATTAGAAAGGAATCTTAATTCCAAGAAGAGCTGGGTATACTTCCAAGTATTTTTTTTAAACTGTGGCTATAAGAATAGAATGCTAATAATTGGTTCTAAGTTTATATTTACCAGTTTAAAAATAACATTTTATTGTTGCAAGATACATGTATTAACATCTTCCATTTGCTAAATAGAATTAAGTGAAAGAGGCATTTATTTGTTGGAGTGTGCCTGCAGGAATGCAAGAGCACCAGCAGGGGGAGGCCAAGGACTCTGTCTGCCGGCGCTCATGCTCAGAGACCTCGAAGGTGCAGGTACTGCTGGTATCCAAAGAACCAATTTGCTGTCTGTAGGGTCGCTATGAATTGCACTCCACTCGACGGCACTACACAACAAGTATCACAGAAAAAAGAATGCAGCATATAGAAAATTGTTAGAATTATGGCAGAAAAGATCATCGAAACAGAACAAGCAAAGGCTTGGTGCCAAGATGACTGGCATATCTGATTGTAGAAATGAAGTAAAAAAAATTAATGACTTTGGAAAAAAAGAAGAAACCCTTTCCCGTTCACGTCTGAATTCTTTAATAACAGAAACTGCGGCTCTCTATTGTTCCTCTTGGTGGACTTTGGGTCAAGGAGGCGCAACGTGCTGGGACAGAGCTGCCTCCTGGAGATTTTTCTCCTGGAGATTTTTCTCTACTGTTAACGTTGTGGAAGCAGATCGCCTGATCTTGCTTCCGTGGAACCACTGGGTAGCGCAAACGGCCAATCTTTAGATTAGTGACTGAGCACACACCATTTGTAACACCTTTACTTCTCCTATTTTGCTAGACACTACACAATTAACAGTTTGATTTTAGAGAGTTTAGAACATGACATAAACAGAAAAGGACTCAAAAAAATCAATCAAACAAAACTCAAAAACCAAAAAAGGACTGTTGACTGTCTACACTGTTTCAAATCGTTCTGTTTCCGTCTTGTCCTGATTCTCAGGGATGTTCCAGTCTACCTTCATAGATGGAACATGCTCCATTTTTCTTTTTGGTTTTTTTCCTTTTTTGCTCTTACCTTGGAGAGGGACAGTGCAGGATAGGAAGACCCTCTATGAGATGGGTTGATTCAGTGACTAGAACAGTGGGTGTGGGTGTGTTGGAGACAGTGAAACTGGCAAAGGACAGAGCAGGGTTTAGGGCTATTGTACACAGATAGGGTCGCTATGAGTTGCAGGCGACTCGACAGCACATAACAAAAACAAACAACAGATATTTCCAACATGCATTTACTGACCCCAACAATCTCAAATACTCAAATTCACTGCTGTACAGTCAGAGATGACTCACAGCTGACACTCCAGCCGATCTGTGGAGGCTGTAAATGGCAAGGAAGAGACTGCCCATTTTTCTCCTGCTGAGTTCCTAGTGAATCCAAAACAATGAATTTGAGTTCTAATTCAAATGCATGACTTTAGGTACAACTCCCAAGTATCTATGCCAATCACAGCTCCCTACCCCAATAATGTTTTTGTTTTTCTGTGCTGCTGACTACCTCTCACAGCTGCCCTAGGCACAACAGCTCTGAACCCTGCTCTATCCTGAGACACATCTCCTTTCAATATCCCAGTTACTGGGTCAACCCATCTCATCTTACGTCTTCCTTTCTTGCGCTGTCCTTCCATCCTCCCGAGCATGATATCCTTCACCATGGACTGGAACCTCCTGGCAACATGCTCAAAGTATGTGAGACAATGTTGTTAAGTACCATAGAGTCAAGCATGGTCCATAGTGACCCTATGAACAAAAGATATGAACTCTGTTCTATAACGATAGTCGTTTATCTAATGTTCACAGTTTCCAAAGACATGTTGTTTAAGAAGTGGATGTTTCCAAGCCTGTGAGACAACAGAACACCGTAAAAATACAATGGAAAATAGGAACCTATTTCTTAGAGTAGGTATTAGCTTTGATGAAATCAGGAAAGATTTTAAAAATCTTCAAAGAAATTCTTAATCTCATAATTCTTTTTATACATTTCAATTCACTTGGATTTATTTCTAGGTTTAGGAGGAAAACCATTTTTATTCTATGCTTTGCTTTCAACAGTAGATTTTATCCCTGAAAGGAATAACCACATGAGAAATCATAGTTCTTTACTATGCCCCCCCTCTTTTACATGTTATTCAGAGACCAGATGACAGAATCTACTGAAAGCAGTTTAAACCTCTGATGTCCAATCCTATTAAATTTCAGTGACGTTACGTGTTATGAGTAACAGTACTGTCCTATTTTCTCATGAAATTATATTGTTAATTAAATTAAAACATGAAATGTAAAGCATAGCAAGCTTTCTAATGCATAACAAGAAACTGAGAAGACCATGGCCTGGATCAGGTGCACCTTAGTCTCCACACTGACATCATCGCTCTTCAGTGCTTTAGAGAGGTTGCTGACAGCACACTTTCCAATGCAATTCATCTTTTAATTTTCTGGCTGCTAGTACCAAGAGTATTGATTTCAGATGATAGAAGGGGAATCAATGCCTTTGAGCTATGGTGCTGGAGAACAGTATTGATTATACCATGGACTGCTAGAAGAAAAAACAGGTTTGTGCTGGAGTGGGTGAAATCAGGTGGCTCCTTGGAAGCAAGAATTCTGAAACTCCGGCTGACATATTTGGGACATACAGCAAGAAGAGACCAGGCCTTGGAGAGGGGCATCATGTTTGGGAGGGTGGAGGAATAGTGCAAGAAAGGAAGACCCTGGGTGAGATGGACTGACTCAGTGAACGGGGCAATGGGGGGAGGTGTATAAGAGACAATGAAGATGGCTCAGCATAGAGCAGGGTTCAAAACTGTTGTACATAGGGTTGCTGTGAGTCACAAGCGATTCGGCAACATATAACAACACAACAACGTAATGTAAAGGGCAGGAAGCTCTGGTGGTTTAGTGGAAAGAAATCCTGTTGAAATTCCAGTGGTTCAAATCATCCAGCTGTTCTATTGGAGGCGGAAGGGCAATCTCTTCTCCTGCAATTAACTGCCTCTGAAAACCTCCTGGAAGGTCAGCTATGAGTTGGTTCTGACTCAGTGTCACATGACAATAACAATTAAAGAGCAGCATTCAAGAAATCAAAAGACTAAAAAGAAACCAAAGACATGTTGCACTGAGAAAAATCTGCTCTCCAGCACAGCTCCAAAGTGCTAAAGAGAACAATGCCGGTTTAGAAAGTAAAGTGCACATGATTCAAGCCACGTATTTCCAATTTCCTGCTATGCATTTGCAAGTTGAATAATAAATAAAGATTACAGAAGAAGAAGTGATGTCTGTG